CAAGTTCTACTGTTAATGCCATCGTTACTTCTGTCTGGCTTTAGCTACAATATTTTTTCTAATAGCCAACATGTTTTGTACAATTTTTCTTTTTTTCCCCCACGTTTTTTCCATTTATCATATGTCCATAGCAAATCATAATGGCCTGGTGATTATGTAGAATGGCTCCTTTAATGTTAATGTCATAGATGGTTTTCTTTAAAATCTTTGAAATGCTGACAATATAAGTGTGTTCTGTATTTATCAGGCAGATAAGTCATAGAAGCCTTTGTTCAAATAATGAAAATAGCACATTACACATGTTACATGTGCCTTCTACTATCTATCACAGTCCTACGTCCATGTGAGTTAAAGATGATTTGAACTGATAGGAAAGGTTAGAGAGCACTTGCCATGATCTCTGTTTTCGTCCTGAATGTGTTGGTTATTTGGCTGCAGAGCGGCATGACAGAACCCCCTCTGAAACCCCCCCTCCCTCAAAGATTGTCTTGAAATATTAACAGCAGTCATCTGCTGAGACGGTTGACTTAATTGTCACAGTCTAACACTTACCACATGTCTAAATAAAGGTAAGTGCTCCCCCCCTTCCAATTAATCTTCAATTAGGGGTTCTGCTCTGTGCCTCTGCTTTTGTGTGTCCCAGTCTCAGCTCAGCAGGTGGGGTATGGTGGGACTGTGTGTGTGTGTGTGTGTGTGTGTGTGTGTGTGTGTGTGTGTGTGTGTGTGTGTGTGTGTATTTGTGTGAGTGAGGGGTTACATGAGGATTGTCAGCCTCTGAGGGGACACAAGCAGGGATAAAAAGATATTTTTCTGACACATATTCACATGACGACTGTCATGCCATCCCACGATTATCACTTCTTGTCACATTGATTACAACTTTGACAAACACTTTGAACGCAGCCTATGTAAATCTTTAGCAGAAAGGGACGCATTACATTGACCCATAGAAAATAATCATTCCATGTGAGATGCAGAGGGACACGAGAGGCCTCAAGCTGAGTGATTTATCAGGGATTCTCATGACTCTGGCAGGCTTTATATAACTACCAGGGATGCACTTTCCCATGTTGTAAGGGGTCAGGAGGCCACCCTCTAAGCACTGTGGCAGTTGTTTTTCACACAAGAATTCCAGCCCACAGTTGGGGGATCTAAGAGAGCATAAAAGAGGAGCAGAGAACTGTACAGTATGCATCACTTTAGCTCATGGTGAACCCTCCGCCTACTGCCCCCTGCACCCAGTGGCTGTGCCCCCATGGGCAGCTCTCCCTGCACCTCTCCCTGTATTGACAGAACAAGCAGTGTCTCTGTGAGAGGCAGTCTCCCCCCCCCTCTCCAGTCCCACTGTCGGTGTGCTGCAAACCAGAAGCCTGAGGCGCAGGGAGCGTGTGGGATGAAGGGATGAGAGAGAAGATCAAAGCAGGAAGCATGAAAAAGCTCAAAGCACACAAGCAAGAGGCACCTCTCTGACCTCCGCCACACACACACACACACACACACACACACACACACACACACAAATACACACACACACTCTTCATCCTGGCTAAGCAGAACGATTGGCGCCCACCCTGGCCTCTGGTTCCCCTCATCCAGCAGCCGTGTAAAAAGGCAAAGAGGAGAGGGCACGTCGCACAGGTCGTGTGAGCCTCTCAGCAGATGGTTGGGACCTGCTGGGAACCAAACCTGAAGTGACGCCCATGGCGCACACCCAATACTTGTGACTCAGACTTCAACATATCTTCCCATCATTCCTTTTTATTTTATATTTACATTGTTGAAAAAAATCTGATGCAGCTCAAGAGATGGCATGAAAAACACTTCAATTAAAGAAGAATGCTTCAAAAGGAAATCATGACTCAGACATCAATTTAAACACATTTGTGTGCTCCCGGACAAGCCTGCTGGAAGTTTCCCAAAAATTATTAAATCAACTGTGGGGATTGATTCAAAAGTAAAGAGATTAGGGACATGTCTCAACTACAGAATGAAAGGCACTGCTAAAAGGCTTTCATAGATCTCTACATAGAGGAAATGAATCCCTTACCTCAGGCAAAGGCTTACCCAGTATAGAAAAGACACTTAGAAGGAAGGAATACAATAAAATATAGTCAAACAAGACGAGGAAGTGAAAAGGCTTACATGATCTGGAAGTAGGTGTTATTCAAATGTTTTGTGCCATTTTTAGCTATTGTATTTCACACAGCACTGCTCAGATCACCGGCTGCATAGAGTTCCAGCAAAGTTCACCGCCAACATGATCAGCTGTGACCGCAGTTTTACCTGCCCGCACATAAAGCTGTAGTTTAGGTTTATAACGAGCCCCAGTCAGACTTGCGAACTCCCCCTTGGCCCTGAGGATCCTCTCTCCATTATTCATGAGTCCTCAGGTTGGACCCTGGGAACAAGCTGAGCGAGGCCCTGTGTCAATACGAAACACTGGCCGCCACAATGGGCTCTGCCTCCAACTACACTGTTGACAGACACCAACACAAAGGAGCTGAAAGGGGTCCCCCTCCGTTCTCACACACACTGAAGAATGAGTCAGTGTGCTGCCGCTCAGAGCTGTGTTTGTACAGTATATACAGCTTTTGTCCATGGCCACTGTTCTCCCATCAATGGGGGCTGAAGTGTTGATGAAAACCAGGAGGAAAGGACTTCTCTGTGGCTGCCAGCGAGAGTTCATGTTCATTAGATGGGCTCCGCGCCTGCTGGATGGCACCTGTATGTACGCAGAAAAAAACCCCGGGTGACAGAACAACAAGTAATCGGCTTATGGACGGGTATATATATCGCAGCCTGGCTTCTTTGACTATCACATCATATACTGGCTACCATTGAAGTGAATGTATAATTAATGCATTTGGACCTTGAAATCAAATAATGCAGCCATGTGACAGTCTCACTGAAGTCTTTCTATAGGGCAAACATTGATTCCAGGTTCTCTGCTTTCATATTGACAGCTAGGTTTGCATAATACATCAAGCACAGATGTGCCGTGATAAAAGGGTGAATCCACCTCAAAAGGGTTGTCATTTAAATTATACCCATGCTCTTAGACAGTCTAATTAATATTAATAAAAATAAGCACCAGTCTTCATTTAGTCCTAGCAACTCTAGAATGAAACTATGATGGTATGCAGAACCTGGTGCCACAATAAGTCATAATGTGTGATTTCATTGTAGACTGAACAGGATAAAAATAGGGGACATTTCACTCTCAGCAGCTCTATTTTTTTGCTTACTTATTATATTACTGAAAGAGCTTTGCTGTTTCTGTTTGAACTATTTTCAGCCTATGATAATAATAATAAAATATTTTCTACAAGGTGCTTAATTACATAATCTATAACCCAAATGTTTTTTTATTGCCGTTTTTAATCTCAGAATAGAATGGCGTGCTCACATAAATGAGCCTTATGCGTCCTGTGTAAAGACATTACTTATCTACTGCATTAAGGCAGAGAATGAATTAACTGTTTTAAAAACAGTAGACATTTGCACCATTTCACCTTCAAACTTGAGTACTTTCTTGTGTTTGTAGACTTTCAGTACTTTTAACAACAATTACATAACTTGCAGACAGTGACAAGTCGTTTTCAAATGATTTCATAAATGACCATTTTGCTCCCAAATAAAGTTTGAAAGAGTTTTTTAGACTCAGATGTTAAAGTACTGCAGGGCGGGAGGCAGTCAGAGGAAGATGTAACGACTCATTCCATTTCAATCCACTGCGGAGAAATGTCACAGAGCACTTATCTGATGTGAATCTGATTTGCTCTGAGCATCTCCAATCATGTCTGTCGGTAGACTCTTCTCCACTTTGATCTCCTTGAGCCTTGACCCCTTGTTCAGGACATGTTGTTATACAAGAGCCTTGAACTAGATCAAGATAGATATTCAAACAGTAGAATGAGAAGAGAAACTTGATCGGCTTTTCATTTGGTTTTTTTTCTTCCTCTCAAATGTAACTTTAGGTTGCTTTTGTTTTAATGGGCACAATACCTGCTTTTGTGTACTAAAACCACTGGGAAGCAATAGCTACACCACAGTCTGACATTTGGGCACAAATCCACTGATATGTGAGTGTAATAATACAGACACTGCCAGTCAGATAATCTTTGTATACATTACCTTTTGCAATTCTTTAATGGCAAGCAATTCACTAGTAAATGTACTGTACATGCTCTAATACATTAGGATAAGGAAAGAACATAAATACAAAGACAAATGTTGAACAACTAATTTGCTTACTGTACAAACTGTGCTAAAAAGCTCAAGGATGAGCAGAACTTTTAAGAACTGTTTTATTTGCTTTCCACAGGCGCCATCTACTGGTCAACCCCAATGCTACTGTTCACTCAGAGATGGAGGGATGTTATTTAGTGGCACAAAGTGATGTGCTGTGTGAAATTTGAGCAAGTGTTAGACAGATGTAAGCATTTATTTTCAATACAAATTTGGGATTCTGTTGCAGGGAAAGACATTTTAACCATATTTGAATGTAACATTAACTATGTTTTATTGTAAATCTCATAGGAACGATTTCAATGGTAAATTGTTCATTTTCATTCAAAATGAAATTTATGAATCTTATCGTTTATGTGATATAATTAGTCGGACTAGCATTGTTAAATGCTGTTTTTCTATTGTTTATTTGCACAATAAAGCATCATGTATCTGGCTGCTGGAGCTGTTTGTTCATGTGACATTTGTCTGCATCCTTCCTGCTGCAGGGGCGACATGCAGCCACACACCAAACCCAGTCAGAATAAATGATTGCAGAGCTTTTTCCCCCTCAATGAACGCTGGAGTCAGCAGACTCTCTCTCTCTCTCTCTCTCTCTCTCTATCGAACACATAATCGAAATCTGATTTAAAGACACGCCTCCCTAATCCGCCCGTTTCCATGGCAACACCGGGACCTTGCTCTTTGATTGGTAGCCCCGAATCAAGCACGTGTTTGATTGAAGGCTTCAAATATGTCACTACCCCCGGCTGCAGGTCTCTCTCCAAGCTTCAGCCACTGGAACAGGAGACCGTGAAATACCTTGTGTTTGTGTAGAAGACTGACCATCATTTTCATCATCATGGTTGAGCAGTTTGTTGGAAACTGGACTCTGACTTCCAGCGAGAACTTTGATGAATACATGAAGGCAATCGGTTAGAAAGATCATGTTTAATTCTAGTTATGATGTTGTTAAATGAGTGTAATTTCAGAGAGGAGAATTAAGCAGACCAGTTTCATGCACAGCATCAGTTGCAGCATCCTTCTTTAAGTGTCATTGTGTTGTAGGTGTGGGATTCGCCACTCGGCAAATGGGCAACATGGCCAAGCCCAACCTGGTGATCAGCGTGGATGAAGCTGGCGTTGTTTCAATGAAGTCTGAGAGCACTTTCAAGACCACAGAGATAAAGTTCAAACTAAACGAAGAATTCGACGAGACGACTGCAGACGGCCGAAATACCAAGGTGGGTCATCTTTATCTTTTATAAACATGGATTTTTTTAAATTTTTTTTTTATTATGGTGGCTACTTCTGACAGTGCAACATGATTTTCAGACCACCTTTACTCTTGAGAATGGCAAACTTGTGCAGCTTCAGTCGTGGGATGGAAAGAAAACTACTCTAGAAAGAGAGATTCAAGATGGAAAACTAACAGCTGTGAGTAATTAACTGATCAACTATGGTTTGTATGGTATTTAAATGCCTTAATAATTGCTTTTTTAAAAAACGTATCCTTGGACTATAATGAAACGTAAGATTTCAAACACTTGAACTTTGTCTCAACAGAAATGTATCATGGACGATGTTGTTGCAATGAGGACCTATGAGAAAGGAGCTTAATTCCTTTGGTTAAACATCAAAGTTGTTCAGCCTGGACCTCTGACACCAAATGCACTGAGCTGTTGCCAAACATGCCAATAAAGTCTGAACTGTGATACATCATTCTGTGTAATTCTTTGTTGAGGTGCACACATCTTGTGTGGGTTCAAATGTGATTGCCTTTTCTTAATGCCATCACCCCTGCTTTGTCCTTTCTTCAGTGGCCCTCCTTATTGTTAAATGCTGGTGCACACTTGCTGGTGCAACTCATTCCTAAACATGGTTGAGTGTTTAGCTTTCCTTAATGCTGAACATATTTTCAAAGCCAAACTAATCACCTGAAACTTACAGAACTTGTCTTGGCAAACAGGAACAGTGATCTTTTAAACTATAATCCTGTGCTCATAATTTTTCAATGAAGACCCAGAGCTTCTTAGCATTTCATAGTATACAATGGCTTGTTGCCAGTTTTAAAACATGGCAAGTCATCATTCAAATCTTAAAGCTATTAAACATGGGGCTTTACAGAGGCCTTTTGTTCAAACAAAGAAAAGCAACATGTCCTAATATCAGAGCAGCCCTCTTGTGACAAGGATGTGGGTGAATGGGGAGGTGGGAAGCCCAAATCCCTGCTTGGGGTTAAAGCGGTGACCTCATTTATGCCAGGTCTCTTGTCATGGATGCATAGATGTGGGGGGGGGGTTCAAGCAAGTGCACATAATTTGTTTTAATTAGGGTTCTTTGGGGCAGTAGGTTGAGGCCCAAATCCTCCAAAAGATTTCCAGGCTTTAGCGATTGATTGTGACCCTGGGTGGCACTCCAGCAACAATGAGTACTGATTAATGAAAAGCTGATTTGGCGTCTTGAGTGCCACATTGTATAAAATAATACAACATGCGTGCACGTTTTACGCATTTTGCGTGTGTCTCGGGAACAGAATCACATAAATGTTAAATTTTTTGTTAATGGAAAATACACATAAGGAGGGTTTGTGGAGGACTGCACAGTTTTACCAAACTCATTTTAGATTTCTGAATACCCCATTGTTGAGGATTAAGCTTACTTAGGGTGGTGTGTGAGTGCAGGCTTTAAGTGTAGACATCCTTTGAAAGGGTTTACCCCTTTAAACAAAATCACACCATGAGCTGGTGAATGCCTATAATTATTCTAGTTTGATTTCACTGCTTTGGTGAAAGGACCCAAATGCAAAACAAATATTGTTTTAATTATTTAACTTTTAGCATATAACATAAATAAAAATAATCTATTGAGTGTACTTGATTAATTATTTAATTTATAATAGGCCTACATAAAAAAATAACAACTTGCATCAAGAGTTACCAGGATCTAAAGTGATGTCTGACAAGCAGCCAACATTATGAAGTTGCAACCAGCAAATGTTTGCAGCAATAAAATATTTAAATTGTTTTCAGAACTAAGCTACAGTGCTTTTCAAATCACCACTGAAGAACTAAATTATATTATGATAAAACCACTGAAGGTGGCCTCATCCAAACAAGTCAAAATGTAACATTATGAAACCTTTTGCTGCACTACTTTCTTATTTAAATCATTACATAATATGAACCTGAAGACCTCAAATGTCATAATCTCACTGCAGTTTCTATCACGCAGAAATACTGCCCCTTGCGGCTGACTCTTGTAATAGCAGGCACTGATTGGACGATACCACTGTATAATAAGGAAGGGGGCCAGGGGTGTCACATTTTGTCGTGAAATGGGGAAAGAAAATTATGAGAGTTTGTATGTCTTTAAAAAAAGAACAGTTTAAGTCAAAATACGTCTCAACAATAACGTTGTCTCGATTATAATATTCACATTGCAGACATCTTGTCTCCCACTTCCAGGTGAAATGATCCGGACTGACGTCGAACGTGACGCGACGCCATCATCAAACATGGCTGACAAAGAAAACACAAACATGGAAGTCGATAAGGAAAAGAATAAACCATTTGTTAACAAAGTTGAGTCACTCGTTGACGAGGTTACCCAAAGAATAGGCAACCAGAACAATGTCGAAGGCAAGAAAAACCCCAGTGAAAGCCGCGCCACAGCGGAATACTGCGAGCAGCTGCAGGCGTGGATGTGGCAGTACTACACTGGATATGTGAACTGGCAGAGCTGGCTGGCAGCGTCAGCCATGTCCTACCCTTGTTATATACAGTCGGCGAGTGGGACGTCGATGGCACCTCTTGATATCAACTCCCACAACTGGTATAACGGTCTTCCGTTGTCGCTGTATCCACCTGCCGTCACCTCCCCAGGCAGCCGGGCAGGTGAAGCGGCTGGCGGGGCTGCGGTGTCCACTCAACCGCAGCAGCTGCCGCAGGGCAACGGGAATGCACAGAGACCAGGTAAAGGCTGCTGGCTTTGCGATGACCCCCCCCTTCTCCAGGTTTTTTTTTAAATGTAAGGTAATTGAGTTCTTAACGTATATGAATCCTAGAGAGTTGTTCACTGTACTTCCATTGGTTATAGTGGACTGCAATGAGCGCCATCCTACCGTGCAGGGGCGCAGCACAAACCCTCCACTCAATGCTTACTGTATGGGCCCCTCCCCAAATCCAGGCTATTCACTCTAATATGCTCAGTTCCCATCCACACCCCCTGCTAGCGTTTGTATCATAAACCTTACCAAACAAAACTTTAGGATAACAATAACAAATGATCGTTTGACTACAAACTTGTGAAACACAGTAACTTTATATGAATGAATGAATGAATGAATGAATGAATGAGAACAAATACATGAAGCCTGGTTCAAAGATCTTGTGGATTCACATGGGTGTAATGTTAATGTGTTTGACTGTTTTTTTTTTTTGTCACCAGGTCGTGAGTATAGCATTCCTTCACCTCTCCAAAGACTCATGGCTGAGATGGTGGATTTCTTCATATTGTTTTTCATCAAAGCAACCATAATTATCAGTATTATGCACCTGAGTGGAATCAAGTGAGTTTAATTTATTTCTGTAGTGGTGGTGAAATGATGAATAAGTCTGTCTCTGTTCATCACTTTTAGAAAACCAAACTATAATTTAATAAATGCAGTCGCTCTTTGGGTTAATATCACAGAAATGTTTTCCTTTGCCTTTCAGGGATGTTTCCAAGTTCGCCATGCATTTCATAGTGGAGGAAATAGATGAGGACACATCAATGGAGGAGCTACAGAAAATGATGCTTGTTGCACTTGTTTACCGGATATTAGTGTGTTTTTATGAGGTGAGTTTTCTGCATCCAGATTCTATTTGTGGTGTCAGCCTTAACTGTCAACTGTTTCTCTGTAAAGTTTGGAAAAGCTTCCATGCAGTGAAGCTGACAGCTCCTATATATTCTCCCTACAGATTGTGTGCATTTGGGGAGCAGGGGGAGCCACTCCAGGGAAATTTCTCATTGGACTCAGAGTTGTTACATGTGACTCATCAATTCTGGTTCAGCCCAACAGGGTGCTCGTTGTGCCAGCGACTAATGTCTCTCTGTCTGCGTGAGTAGTTGATTTTCAAAGGTTATCTTTCAGCAGTTAATAAATAATATAATCACTATAATTCACAATAACAAATGTGACCCAGTTTGTCCTGTTTGTATTGTAATCACTGTCTCCGTCTCCCTCTACAGATCAACTGTCCGAGCGTTAAACAAGAACTTTTCAATTGCCTTCTTTTTCCCGGCCTTCATCACACTCCTCTTCTTCCAGCACAACAGGACTGTGTATGATATGGTAGCTGGTACAATTGTTGTCAAGCGCTCCAGGGTTAGATGACGTAGACCCCCAGAAGAGAGTCCTACACTAATGCTGAGCTGGCACTGTGTGATGTTTTTAAAAAAAAAAAAATGCTTGCAGAACTCGGACATCATCCTTTGAAGGTATCGTCAGAACACGCAGCAGCATTAAGATGGTTTGATACACATCAGTATGAACGATTTCAGTTCCCTACGACTCGGGTTTGTTTTCTCTCAGACACATACTGTATATCTGCATGTGTATCTACATGCTGCGTTCAGACTCTGTGCCAAATTGATGTCTCCTTTGAAGACAGAGAAAATGATGGTACACTGCTACCTTTTCATTAACACAAGATTTGCCTCTTTAAGTACTCTTCTGAATTAAGGGTGAATGTCTTGTATCACTCAGTATTTAAGTCACTAATTATGCTTTCATGAGATTATACCTTCAGTATCTCTTTGTAGGGGTGTCACAATTCTGATTCTGAATCTTAAATCAATTGAAACAAGCAGTTTCAATGATCAAAATCAAAACAGGATCAGCAAGTCTCACAGTATTTTTTTCTCTTTCCACCCCTTTGTGTTCCCAGTTTGTTGTTGACTGGTGAAATAAGTTATTGTTATTATATATTTTAAAATGTAAATGAGAAAACTTGATAGTCTTACAATGCTATAACGTTAGCTGTCAGGGCTGAAAAACAATGTTTAAATTGAAAATCAAATTGTGCATTTGGACGATTGTGACACCCCTATCTCTTTGTATTAAAAATTGTCTTAAGAGTTGTATGCTCAGACTTTTCATGTTTGAGTTGTTGACCTTTGTCACTGCAGGAGTGATGCATTGCTCAGCTTCTTCAGCTTCTGAAGTACTTTTAAGGCACATCGAAATGTATTGAAAGGAAATGTAAACCTGACCACAATTGCTCTTCTTTTACTCTGAACTCAGCATGTGTGTGGTTGAAAAATTAACGTATGACACATTTTATGTGATTAACTGTTTTTGGCATTTAAGAAGATTAAATGAATCCACTAATTCCCTGCATGTTTGAGATGCCTGTCTTTTAGCGGTTTGTCTGCTATTTAAAAATTCCTACAACGTTTTAATACTAATTAGGTAGCCTAATTATGTTTTGTGAACTTAAGCTGCATTATCTCAAAAATGTGCCATATATTTGCCTTATATAATGGGGGCATTTATCCAGTTATTTTGTAACGAGTAGTACTTTTATTTTGTATTTCAAGGCCTTTCTTTTTTTTTATTTAAAGTATATTTTTTGGGCTTTTATTATAGTGACCACTGAAGGCAGACAGAGAGGGGATTATACGCAGCAAAGGGCTGCCGGTCGGATTTGAACCCTGGGCCGCTGCAGCAAGGACTCAGC